TTAATATAATTAAATGTTTTCAAAAATTTGGTTTTATATTTTTATTTATCATAAATGAAATTTTAAAGTTTAATTGAATTGGTTATGCGATCAATTATTTAATGCTTAAGATATAAATGGTTGCTTTAAATCACGATTTTAATCATATAACAAAATAATTCTTTTAATAAAATAATCATTTGAAATAGATTTTGGAAGATTAAATGTCATTGTATACATGCTTATCGATAAGTCGCCTTTGAATGCTTGTTCTATCAAATTTGTTTTGTAGCATATTTTAATGGTATCATTTATTAAAAAAAAAAATATAATAAAATTTGTGAGAATGAATTTTCTGCAAGAATTCATTCAAATGTTTTATTTGTAATCAGCCCAAGATTTTTATTCTTTATATTAGCCTTATTGATTTGCTGGAACCAGAAATGTAATTAACAATTTATAAAAAGAATGTAATTATACTCTGTCCATTACCTTTAATTTTATTTAATATTCATGTCTATCATTGAGTCCTTTGGAATCACTTTCGTAGTGAATATCATTCTTTCCATAAAGAGAGCTGGATCCCGTTATATTCTTGATAAATTCATTTAAATTATGAAACACAACACAATATTCTATAAAGGAATGTGCGGATATGAGGTAGTAATTATTGGATCATTTTTGAGGCTATTAGATCCTAACCTTTATTAGGACCACAATACCAGTACTTTAGGACCTAAGTCCTAAGACTGCAAGTCCTTTTACCGCATTCCTAGGAATTAGCCCTTGCACCGCAGATGGACGAGACTTAAAAAATCCTTGGGATATTTTTAATAAATTGGAATCCCTCAAGTACGATATTTAATTTAGATCCCAAAAAGAAACTAACTCGTCAAATTTATATTGTTTGTTCATATATTAAATTCGAAATGTAAGTAGAATTTTAGTTCGAAATTTTGATCTAAGCTGATATTTATGGAATTTTCAGAATATTATTTTTTTTTTTATCATCGGGGAAAGACGATATTTCATATTCTGCCTAAATTAAGGCTTCATTGAAATAATTAAAGAGATATTCCCAAACCGTCTACTCTTGTCATGATATTATGACAAATTTTGGTTTATTGTCAAGTCAGTATTAATAAAATGAAAAAAAAAGTTAAAAATCCACATATAATTTCTTTCTATGTTACTATTCACGGAGTCATATTTTGATTACTATTTATATAAATTTGCGAAAAAATCAACAATAAATTGTAAGAAGTATTCTTGATTTCTAAAATAAAAGAAAGATGATAGCAATGGTCGATGCACTACTGACGGACGCATTATGCAGGTCAATAAATGTTTAACCTCATTCTGTTCGTAACATTTTCTGAAGTATGTAAACAAAATTAAATCGAGGTAAATAACTTTGTCGGTTTATAATCATTACCTTACTGACAAAATCTTAAATGATAAAGAGTTTCCATTTGAAAACTGTATAGTCCGTTTATAGAAGTTTATAATATTCGAAAATCTATTTTGAATTAAAAATTTTATACGCGTAGGATTAAATCAAAAAATAATTTCGAACGGAAATTCCTATTCTATTCATATAAAATTTCTTGGCAGGTAAATAATGTACTTTTTCCTCGAATCAACTTTACAGAAACTTTCCTTATTATGCAGTAACTGCATAGTACCTATTATGCTGCGATTAAGCTACTACTGTATGTAAGTCTAAAAATATGTGGCACAAACATATATGTATTCGCATCACCTGGACACCCAAAGTTGGACTATATCATATATTTGATTTAATTAATCTAACGTCATGTCATTGTTAGGAAATCAATTGTTTTTCTCTTCAGAGTTTTACCCATTATATATATGAAGCTTATAAATTAAAAATCCAATCGGTTTACAGTATATCCTTAATTCATTGCAGGTAAGTATTCCTCATAAAATTTTATTTTAAAGGATATGAAAATAATTTTAAATTTTAACAGATTCCGGAACAATATATTTTAATTTCTGAATTAATTAAACTAATTTTATATACATGAAGGAATGAGCTTATCTAAAGATTAAAAATTCAAATTTGCCGTCCAAAAGAAAGATTCGATCATTATTCGCTATCCTCAAATATGTACGAAATCTCGTCTAGGAAATAGCAATAAATTCATTAAGTGAATCTTTGAACAATATTACTTAAAGATGGATTAAATTTGGGCGAGTTCAATGTATAGGAAAATGACTCTCAATTAGTTATTGAATTCAATGCTCATTAATTTTAACATAATCAGTAATGTTTGAAGATAAAAACCGCAAATTATGAATATACTGTATTTATATTGTATCTAATACTAGATATTTTGACTCAAAAATTCTAATTTACATTAAATAATTCTACAAATAATTCTACAAATAAGCATACTATTGCTGTATAAATCTAATCGAATAATTATCGTGAATTTTCTCTAAATAAAGTACATAACTTTTTGTAACTCAGGTTTCACCATACCATAAGATGATACAGGAATTCCTATTTTCTGAATCTATATCATCTATAATTTCACCTCTCGAATGAAACCCTGGAACAAGCTAAATGCGCATAATACACTGGTGGGACAATAGAAACTGCACGTGTACATCGCGCAAATGAATAACATAAATTGTACGATAAAGTTTGAAGAGAATCGGCATTGAAACGGTTTTCATCATATAATACGTAATAATGCATTGGACGCGAAGTTCCTCGTGTTCCAGCGTGGCTCTGTAGATAAAAGTCGAATTCAAAAGGATGCGTTATTGTTGATTCAACCACCGTACCAACCGGACAGTTTCCTGTATTATCTGAATCTTTCTTATCCACAGGGAAAAGGCGAGTGTGATGTCGTTTCTGTATAACCACAAAGGTTATGGACGGTTTATAATTCGCATCAAGGGATGCACACGCAGCTGTTTTTTAAGAAAATGGAAATAAAGATGGATGTTATAAATTTCAAATAATTTTAGATAAAAATATGTACATACCTCTTACGGCTTCGATTTCTAAATCCAGAAATTGTTCAAATTGGCCCTCTGAGATACCTTTTCGATATAACAACATACTTTCTGGTTTCCTTTCACATGTCTGGTAGAAGGATTTCAAATGCTCCTTTATCATACCTGAAAAGTCAGAGAAAATTTCTTGTCTACCTGCTTGAACAAGAATAGAAGCTGCATAACGAGATGCTTTTGCATCTACTGAAGCGCATAGAGCAGCAATGGATGGACGAGACTCATCATCACCAGGAGCATGAGTGACGCTTGCATCCATTACGATGGTAGGGCGTTCCGTAACAAACTGTATACAACTTGGTTCAATGAATGAATTCATACCACCAAGTTTAACGTTCATTTTAAGACATAAATTAGCGCAATATTGTCTTTTTGCTTGAAAAATATGTTTGGATTGAACGCATTGAGTAGCAACACCAATTATTGTATCACACACACGCTTAATTTCAGCATATAATGGTAAACCGGTGTTAGGAAGGATGCATAAATTAACTGAGGCGATGATCCGGCCATATTGCTAGCTTTAACCCAGGCTTTCCTCAAGATCTGTTAAATATTACCTTGATGATTACCTTGAATAATTGGTGGATTCTTTTTCGGGATATTCATTCCAGTATCCTGACATGTGTTAACCATTTCTCTGATAAAATGTTGTACGGCTTGCATTGCGAAATTTCCGAAAACAACGCATGACCATGAACCAAGTGGCCCCAGTAGCAACTTTCTTATCACGTAAATTCCATGACCCATCCCTTGGAACAAAGGCAGCGGTACGAGAAGAATAATGAAATCGTATTCTTGGAGCAGGTAATATCCTGGTCGGAACTACAGCCATTTCCTCAGATACAATCAAACCAAATTGCTTCATATACTCATTTTGTCGATAATCAAGTAAACCTTGTTTAATTTTGTTTGCACGGATATGAGGTGGTTGACAAGAAAATTTCGTTATATCTGCTGTCTGCCTTTCGTTATATTTGCGAATATAATGTTGTTCCTAATAAACGATTTACCTTTAGCAATTATTTTATTTTATTTTATATTAAAGAAGAAGAAAAAAATATTTCTCTTAAAAGTTGCATATTTTGCGTACCTCAACAACTTTACATACTTCCATTGGAAAAAATATATTTCCTCTGACGACCACGTAAGGCAGGGATGGAAATTGTAGAGGTTTGTTATACGTATTTTGAAAGTATGAAGCAATATCAATCCGTTCATAACCAAAATTAAGTTGAGTATTTGATGTTGAGGTATCAGTTAATTTAAGAATCTTAAACGAGCGTACGGAACAATCATCACGATGAGTAACACGTATCTTTAAATACTTTAAAGCTTTATTAAGTTTTAACCGATCTCTATCATGAATTCCTCCTTTTAGATATCAACATTACGTTCGAGTATCTTTGCAACCATATGTACTAAATCACTACTTTCATAAAAAGCAGTAGCGCTTACATCAACATTTATCATCATTCTTCCAGGTGTAGGCTGATGGATTGACGAAATCCTTGCCAAACTTCTAAACCACCAAAACAAGCTTGTGAAATTTGGTTAGTATAAAATGATCTACCAACTGTTTTACACGTCAAGAACGGTTTTTGACGAAATAATACATTAAGGGCCATAATTCCTGATTAATGTTGAAGTATGAAAATTTTTGATTAATTATACAAATTTTGTAATCAATAATTATAACAACTAATAATTAAAATCAATTTACCTGTTAAAATAGTCGGTGATGATTTACATTTTCCATCAAGGAATTTATGAAATTCATTCATATTAATTACAGCGACCTTTCTAATTATAACTTTAAAAAGGCGCAGAGGTCGCAGAGGTGCTGAAAAACCGGCATCTTCCGAAAGACATATATTGTAAGTGGCCGTATCGCAAAAGGTAATTGTCTAGCGGCAAAAATATTCTGTCGACCATCGAAAACAGTTTTTACATCACCTCTATAAACTGGGAAAAAACTCTCCTGTTTAGAGTTGCGGTTTAATTATAATGTCATAGTGGTGGATATTCGAGTCGGTTAGAGAGAGCTATTTCGAAAAAGTTTGCTTTAATACTTATAGGACGGCCAATACGACCTAAACCAGGACGTTTAACTAATATTGTTACTTTAACATTGTCAAACATAATTATTTTTATAAAAACAAAGGAGATGATGTGAGAAAATTATTTTTTGCTCCAAAAACATTTGGCTTGTTTTTGTTATTTTTCACGTGTATGATAATAAAAGTGCATGATCAACAATGACATCCTCAACATTCTTCAAAAATTTTTTAGCCTGAACAGAAAGATTGTCTACTTATAGCTGCGTGCGTCTTATAAACTCCAAAATAAAATAAAATATGCATATCAAATGTCTGATATTTTACTTAAGAATGCATAGACCAAATTCGGACTAAGGACTCATTAATTTATTGCAGGTGATGTTTTTAAAAAAAAGATTGTATAGTTACGGGGCAAAACCTAAACCCATTTTGGCAAAGTCGAAACTTTTTTCGACAGTTTCGATGGGTTTCGACGGGTTTCGAAAGTTTCAACAGTTTCGACAAGAACTTTGCGAATTTGACGATTTAACAGGTTTATTGTATCACAATGTAGAATAAAGATTTTTTTTTTTTTTTGCTTTTTATTTTAAATTAAAACAAAGTTTCCAAAATAATGCATTAATTATCGAGCAGGTTTTAAATTTGAAAGCACTAGTACTTGTTGAAGAATTAGAAAATTATGAAGATGATGATGATAGAGGTTGGAACCGGGTTTATTTTTATATCCGGATTTATTTAATTTTAAAAATCAAAACCGGGTTTAAATCCGAATATCGAATCTCTATTCAAAAACTGTGCAGATCAAATAAAGCTTAATAAATTATAACATCATATACCCGGTGCGGTTGCATTAATTAAAAATGATAATATTACGATCTCGGTGCTTTTAATTTATCTTTTATAAAATCCTATAAAAAGATAAACTTTAGATTTCCCAATTCTATCAAACATCAATGCTAGTCAAAATAGATAAATCGTACTAATCATTGTGCTGCATGATAAACCGGTTTTGTGCTGGTAAATTTGAATTGGATAGATATATCTGGGTTTAAATCCGAATGTCGAACCCGGTTCCAACCTCTAGGTGATGATTTTTCAAATGAAAGTTTAATGGATGAAGAAGATAAGTATACTGTCATGAGTTTAAATGAAAAAAAATATGAGAGATAAATGATGTAACTAAACTTGATGAAAAATAAATTAATACAATTTCAATATGTAAACTTTTTGATTTTTTTTTTCTTATACTTTATTATCCGCAACTTAATAAATTTGTCAGTCTGTCCGTCCGCTTGTTTGAGTCGATGCAATTTTGCACGTGATTGTATACCTTTTTGCTGATGTGTTAATTTCATTTTATTTACACCATATTTATCGCTCCAGACTTTCCAACGGTTTCCGTTACCTAGTAAATATATAAATATATGATATTATAAAAGAAATTGATCTTTGCTATATACGATTTCTCATCTCGTAAAACAAAAATAATAAATTTTTAAATTCAAAATTGTACTTTATATCAGAAGGTTTCGCCATCTTGCCACCCGTCGAAACTTTCGCAATTTTGACTTTAATAAAATATTTAGCAAAACGTTTCAACAGGTTTCAATTTCAATGCCTGTCGAAACCTTCGGGTTTTGCCTGCCTGGCAACCTAAGTCCAAAGAAAAAACCGTAGAAAATGTCAAAATAAATACGCAAATTATGCAATAATATATAATTCCACTGATTATTCCGTGACCAAGAATATTGTCCAGTGAACGTCAAGCGTGTTAGTAAAGCTAACATATAAAAGACAAAATAAAAACAAAAAAAATAAACCCAATTCATGAAAAATTTAATATGATGTACTTTCTATTATACTATTATCTTCAGAATTACTATAAAAATCCATTGTTCATTCTGCGATTAAGCGTATTACCCAGTTAAAACTAACGCGTTATTGAAGTTAAAATAAAACTAAAAACTTAAAAAAGTGCAAATCCAGTCCAAATTTCCACTGATTGTTGTCCAATTAAAGATAAACGCGTAAGTAAAGTTAAATATAAAAACAAAAAAAAATAACTAAAAAATTAAGTCATTATGTTTATGCTATAACCTTTAAAATTACTAGCGATTAAACAACGCGTTGTCCAGTTAAAGTTAATGACGTTAAACTTAAAAAACAAAAACAAAAAATAATAACTAAAAAAGCAAACCGGATCCATAAATATTTTATATAATGTACAATCTATTATGCAATTCTCCAAAATTATTATAATTCCATCGACTACTTCGCGATTAAGAGCGTTGTCTAGTTAGAGTTAAACTGTCTTAGTGAAGTTAAACATAAAAAATAAAAAAATAATAATCCCCGCAATCCTTGAGAAATTTATATAATATGCTATCTAATTATAACAAAACTACTTTATTATTCCATTGATTATTCCGCGATCAAGAGTGTTTCAAGTTAAAAATAAGGCGATAGTAAAGCTAAAATAAAAAAACAGAAAGTAAACTATCCCAAATTATTTCTATTCACCTAAGATCCAAGGAGCTATATGGTTATAACCATTCTTCATTCATAACTATTTTATCTCGCCAATACGTGTTACAGAAAAAAATATCTAAAATTAAATGAATTATCTAAAACTCGCAATATTCTTCAACTACCATTAAAATGATTTTTCAAACTATATATGCCATCATAATTACTTGAATATTCAAATACCGTTTAGTAAAAAGAGTGAAAAAAAATGTAATTCGCACGAGATGCACTATTTTCTAAACAACGAGAAATAATTTGATTGGTTGAACTGTTTAAATGTACCCTTGGTATACGCGGTCAATTTCCAAAATTCTCATTAAATAATCTACTAATTTGTCAGTTATCTGTTTAAGTTTTAAAAAGCACTTGTTTGAAAAATTAATTCGCTTTTAATAGGTAAAATTTAAGTTTAGTTATATATTTCATGATCTCATTATGATATATAAACTTAGCGCAGGGTATAAAGATAAGGGTAACCCATCGGAAAGTTGTCTATGAACAACTACCCTCGTCCACAGTGACAGCGTTATAAAGAGCTGGCGGGATAAAGTTGGTGGTAAGTCGACTAAAGCATACGGATTTCTTAGAGAGGCACTGCATTCCCTTTTGAACTTTATAGAAAATAAATTTGATTTAGTAAGTATCTAGTACAAATGATTCATGAGTTAAAATTTGTTTTTTTTCTGTTGGTCGTTTATTTCTAAATTGAATTATTTATTTTAAAATTTCTTAAATCAAATTTTTTATAAAGTTCATATTTGTAAATTGGTAGTGAAAAGTTGATGCATTTTCCAAACAGCGCTGTGACAATTCTTTTCTAAAGAATAGGGTTTGTTTGAACTTGCAAGATCAGATCCACCATTTCGTAAGAAAGAAAATTACTAAGTCCTTTATATATGTCAATAATCGAAAGGTTTAATTTTATGATACTCTCTGAGAGTGGATTTACCGAATAAAATGGATTTGCATCAACTAGGGCATAATCAGATTGGAAAGAAATCAATTTTTTTAGACCGTTAGAATGTCCATTATCAAACATAGCTATATCAAATATTCCTCTATTACTAAATTAAATTGGCTTGTTTGTTGAAGCAGCACATGATTTATTGGTAGGTTTGCATTAATCTTGATAATATTTTCAAATACAACGAATGGGCAATTAAATACTTTTTATTGAACACTTGACATTATTCTAATTTATTATTGACACATAATCGTGAAGAACTTATTGATCCAATTGAGTGGATGATTTAATAGTTAGGTCGAATTGCAGAATAAACTCACATATATCAATTTAATGTAATATTTATACGCTACTTTACTTAATATTTATAAATGCCAGGTCCTTAGAGAACTCATAAAAAAATCGATGGCGATAATCTCCGAAGAATATATGCTTTATTACAAAACGATGGTAGAAAAAAAACAGAAAGCTAAGATAGCTTTAGTTTCCGTTTTGAGAGGCCTGTAGATAAACTTTTCTGTACTAACGTGTTTCAGCCAATCATACAGTAACTCATTGTTAATTTTTTATATTTATCTACAATAAAATATGATTGGTTGTTTTCATTTTCATACAGTACAGTTTAGCTAAACGTATAGTACAGTTTATATGTATACCCGTGGAACTATATGTTTTGACTGTTATTATTTATAAACACAGTAAGACTTGGCAGACATTATCATTCCTAAGTAAATAATTTTATTTGTAATAAACGCGTAAACGATCATACACTTTTTTTTGAAGTCCTACATGTTAAACATTTTATGCTTGAAAGTTTTTGATTAAATACTTGGCTTGGAGCTTTTATTTTATTTTATTTTTTTTTTTTTTTTTTACAAAAATAAGTTAATAAAAGGAATTTTTGAAAATCGTTTTCTAAGTTCGTCTCGTTATATCACAAGATATTTTAATTGTCTACACATTTCGGTCTATTTTAACCATACTTATAAGCAAATTTATTTTTAAAAACTTTTCCCTTCTGATATTTATTATATTTGCTAAAATCTTTTCTTTTCTTTTCTTTAATTTCCTTCTTTGTAGCCTTAACATAATATTTCTTTTTTGGCTCCCCCGAAATTTCAAAATTTTCACGACGACGTCTTCTTGGTTGTAGTAACTCATCATCATTATAGATCCAAGGTGATAAAGGTAATGACAAAGACAAATCATAGTAAGCAGGAGGAGAAAAGTGATAATCATGATAAATATTTAAATCATGATCTTGATAATCAAAGAAAGAAGAAAGGGAATTCACCCATTCTTTCAATTCTTTCAATTCTTGTTTATCTTTAGCATATTTCATTATAGAATCAAACGTAATTTTTTTATCATCTAACCAAGATTGTAAATTCGAACGATTATGAGAAAATACCGTATATTGTTCATGTTCAAAATCTAATTGTTCCTTCCAATAATATTTGTCACCATCTTCATTAATAAATGGCATAATATTAATTAGTTCTAGTGGATAATTCAGGATGCTCTTAAACCATGCTGTATATGGCTCAATTCTACGAAATTTATTTAAAAAAATAGAAAAAGTTAAAGCAAATACAAATGCTTAATGCAATTAATTAAAATAACACGAAACACTTACATCACGGTTTTCTTAAAGAAACATCCTGAACAACACCTAACTCCAAATTCCCAATAAATCTTGCATTGCTTTTTAATTTTACAAATTTGACAACCTCGTTCCGTTATTAATAATTCAACATAACATTTTTCACTCATTCCATTTGGTGGAGGCATCAAATCACATGTCATAAATTTTAATCGAGATATCTTCCATATTTGCTGGGTAGTAAAGGAATTAGGTGCACTTAAGTAACTATAGAATTTACGACATACTTTAGAAAGTATGAATAAATCATTTGGCGATAAATAAGCGCAAAATTCGGCAAAGAGTTCGGGTGGGAGCTTGGTAATCGGCGAGTGTACTTCGAGGTTAACTTTTTTAACTGGCATTATAGGAATTCTAAAGTTTAAAATATTGGTAGCGTACTTTTCTTTATATTTTCCGGGGCGATGATTTTAAAAGGATTATGTGATATCGATCAACTGTCGATTTGATTTAATTATAGTTAGTTTAAAGGTACGCCAGTCTTTCAACTCGTTTCACAAATTTACGCCCATAACAATAAAAGCTTTTTTTTTATGGGTTTTTACACTACATTATTTTTAATAATAAGACAAGGTAACATTCATCTCGAACATGAAATATTTGTGTAACATAAGCAAATGGTTCCATTGAAAGTAACCATATCATTTTCATTTTCGAAAAGAAATTGATTCTTCATTTCTAAGAGATTTTATTATTTGTGGGATAAAAGTATAACGAAAATAGTGATGAAATGATTTGATATTGGGCCTGTTCATTTCTGATCGTTCGGGTTTTTGGTCGCAAAATCCGTTAACAATTCAAACATGTGATCAAACTCAGAATTGAGTTTGGGATTTCTGATCGCAAAAAATTTCAACAAAAAACCAATCAACCATTTGTTTTTGTTATGTGATCAAAAAATTTCCACCTTTTTGTTGTTCGGAAAAATAGAATTGCTGATCGAGTTACACAATTTCGTATGCCAATAATTATCAACTCAAAACCGATCAAAAATCCGAACGATCAGATCTTATTAAAGAAAAGTTCTTTAATTAGATGATGAAAGATTTAACGTCGATTCAACGATCGGTCAAGGACCGACATTGACCGTTGACCACTTGTATAATTGAATATTTTTACGATTTTAGAAAAAGAACTCTTAATAGGCACTTTATATGAACGA